ATAAGTATTATATTTATATACATTTGTTACATTTCAATTACAAGCAAAGTATAATTGTAATTTTGAATTGTAATTAATATATAAGTACATTATTACATTACATTTGCTATTATTAATTACATTTGTTGCGACTTTTTCGTGATGTTGTATGTACTATATTTGTTACTGTCCTATAGTCCCTATTAGTGTTAGTATGTCTCTTCTCATTCCTATTTCATTTCTCTACTATGAATACTGATACAAACTCCTGTCTATAACATTATATAAAGACATACAGAGTCTAATAAGCTAGTACTGTTCTTAACACATTTGATTCTTCTAGGAGACCTTATAACTAATAGAATGTACAGTAATTAGACTCAGAAGTACTTTTAGAGAAAGTTCAATTGTAATAACCATAATATTTGTATAAGGGATAGTAATACTGTTGTTACTACTACTTGCTTGACTATTAAATAGTGAGTGGATACAATATGGTTGTAAATGCTAAAGTACTAGCTACTTGCCTAGCTTGCTACTTCTCACCTCTTAGTTCACAGTAGTGTAGCTGAGATTGGGTTGGGTAGATAGGATAACCCACTATAGTAGTAATAAGGGAGGAGAGAGGAGCATGTTAAGGTACAGTTGTGTATCTGTAATTGTAAGCAGAATAGATAGTAAGTCTGCCAGATTCATTGTCTGACTACACCTCTAGACTGTATCAATCCTATACTGTCACTCATAGTACTATAGTGTTCACTACTGCTTGTTCTGCTCAAGCATACTAGAGATACTATTTGGCTACAGTAGAGAAGTATTGTAATGAACCAGGATACAATACAGAGGTACAGGAATTAATACAGGTAGGAGTGAGCTACAGCCTCTTGTAGATTGTATAAATAAAAACACTATGTTGTATATATTGAATGAATACTATAATGTTTTCTTCAGATACAAGCATGTTTGGAATTTGTTTCTTTTGAATGACAGTCCTAGGACAGTTATAGTACCAGAAAGGGGTTCTGAGAATACTGTAGAGATAAAAGACACTTGTATTGTTACACAAATGCTATACAGAACAGATTGAAAACTTGCCAGAGTATTGTAAGACATGTAGACCTAATTTACAGACTAAGAAGGAAAAATATAATAGCTTGTATGAAGAGGAATAATTTTATGAACAGTCTAGATAACCTGCTAGAACAAGAGTTAACAAGATTGCCTAATGTTTCCTACACAAATACTATACAAAATAACACAAAACTTTGCCAGAGCAGTTCCATGTATATATACTTGATTTATAGACTAGAATAAAAATTTATTATGACTTGTGTGAGGAGGAATAATTTTGTAATCAGTCTGAACAACTCTTTAGAGTAAGGCCTTGTAAAGTTGTTTGTTCTGTTCTGACACACACAGGTAACAAATTACAAATATTTCTACATAAATCTACATTTGCAATCTAGCACTTTTTTTTAAGTACTAATTAAGTATGAAACATACAGAATTGACAGAGAAATTTGCTATTTACTTGAGTTTTTACTGTTTTGGCTCAAATGTGTTAGAGCATGTGAAACACAGGTGTGACAATACTTATGAAAAGGGTAGTAATGTAAAGTAATCTACTAAGATCTTCCAAGATTTACATTAGTACAAAAGAATATATAAATTAGTAAAGTGATTTCCCAAGATTTTCATTAGTATAAAATCAGTTTCAAATCAACAAAGTATTACAAAAAAGGACAAGTGTTATTAATACAAAGTAATCTACTAAGATCTTCCAAGATTTGTATTAGTACAAAGGGATATATAAATTAGCAAAGTTTGTACTTTTTAACTCTTTATAGATTAAGTACTACTTTGTACATATTCATTTTATGTAATAAAGTACTTTGCTATTTATTTGAATATATATAAATACTGAAAGGTTATAAATAATGTAAGTATTTACAACTTTTACATTAATCTAATTGATTCTCAAAGAGTTATTACTACTACTGGCTTGATTCTTAAAGTGTTATTACAACTACTTTACATTAATTACAATCTTATTAAGATTAGTATGTTGTTTATATAAATTTTCGTTATTATAAGTTAATTTACTTAATACAATGTTTAAGTTACTAGATTATAAATGGGCTCGAATTTGCCTCCATATTATTATAATGATAATGATAATAATAATAATAATAGTATAATAAATTTGAACTCTCCTCCAGTAACACTAAATAGACAAAGACAAAGAAGAAGACAGGATAATAGATATCAATTAGGACAAGAGAGTCCCAGTCATAGGAGACAAAGAACACCTCAAGGAAGTCCATCAGGATCACTACAATCAAATTATACAACTTTAGAAGATCCTTTTGTTAATCCTCCTAATTATACTACTGTTTCTCCTCCTCCTCCTCCTCCAGCACCACCCTTGAGTTTACCTCCTATTCCTCAGCCGTCTCAACTTCCTTCTCATTTACAACAAGTTATGAATCAAAGAGATGCAATTTTGAATATGTAACTTTATCCTACTCAAACATACAGATATTTAGTAAGTTATTTATTTATTTATTATTTAAACAAGTTAATAATAATAATAATAATAGCAAAATGCTCAAAGTTCAAATACTTATGAGTATTAAAGAACTCATAGACAACCTGTATGTTAATCTATATAGAAATTGTTTAAATACTATTAAATTTACTAATCTCTTATTATTTTAGTCTGTTAATAATAATCAACAGTATGTATATAATCCTACTTCAGATCAACAATATGAAAGACAATATACAAGTACTACAAATACACCAACTTATCCTCAACAGTATTCTTATGAAAGACAACATCAGAATAATACAGGTAGAAATAATACAACTTATTATCAGCCACAAAATTATTCTACTACAAATCCTGTACAATCTCAACCAGTAAATACTTTAGATAGTAGAACATATAGACAGTCAAACAATGTATCTCTGTCTGTTGCACCTACTCAGTAACAGGTAAATTATCATTTCCATTTCTATTATTTACTATACTATAATTTATCATGTAACTATTATACAGCTAAATGATTATAACTTGCATATTAATGTAAATAACAATGAAGAAGTACATAATACACAAAATATAATACAAAACAATGAGTTACAAGAGGTACTTTAATTATTATTAAGTTTTACTATTACTAACTAATATAATTATTAGAATATTGAAAGACTTAATAATACTATTAATAATACTATTCAAAATCTGGAATTACATCAGGTATAGTTTTATTTCATTATAAACTATTATATACTAAGTATAATTATTATTGTATTAGGTGTTAAATAACCCTTTTAAGAATGATCCTTTTACAAGTATAATTAATGAAGAAAATCAAGAAATACATCAACGAATTTTTATTAGAAATAGTCTTAATTATGCAAGAGATCCATCTATTACTACTATAAGTATTCAATATTATGATTTAGGAAATATGGATGTATTGTGTTGATTTTGTAATGCTTTATACTAGAGATGTGAACAGACTAAATTAAAAGGCTCAACTATTACAAATCCGAAATTTGCTATGTGTTGTTTAAGTGGTAAAGTTCAAGTACCTTTACCAAGACTTCCTCCACCTGAACTTCAAAAACTATATGAAGGTATTTTTTAGTTTATTTAATACTTATTAAAACTAAATAAATTTGTAACTTTAAGGTGAACCTTTAGAGTCAAAACACTTTTTATCTTCTATTAGAAACTTTAACAATGCTTTTGCATTTACAAGTCTTGGAATTACAAATAATGTATCTATCCATACAGGAGGTCCTTTTTGTTTTAAAGTAAATGGAAAACTTCATCATTGGATTGGAAGTCTTCTTCCTATAACTACAGTTACAGGAACTACACTACAAAGGTATTTATTCTTAAATACACTTTATAAATTTTGTTTCAAGTTAAAATACATTATAGACAAT